CCTACCTGAAGGAAAGAGCGACACTTGCACCTATTTTAGGCATGGTTCTCCAAATAAATAACTACATACTATTTTTTATTCCTGGTGATCATGTCACCTACATGAGCTCATATAGCATTATCAATTATTAGTTCACATATTGGTTTGTGTTGTGAGAGTGAGAAGTACACACCATCTTACTAGTCCTCTCACACTTGGGAAATATAGACCAACCAGCGAGATTGTGTAATGGAATTAGGTTGATTCTCACTAAGCTTGGAAAATATGTGCTAGAGGCAATGCCCGGACACAAAACTAGTTTAAATAGTTAGAAATCAATTTCAATTGAAATAACTCTATTTTATTATTAGTACCTAAGTAGATGTAAACAGAGAGAAGCTTGGTGAAATAAAAAAATGTAAAAACTAAACGGAACCATTCAGTTGATAGCATTTTTTTCTCTTCTGAAGTGTTTGAAGTGCCAATTGAACGTCCAAGAGATTGTGCAATAAATTTTGAAAGTGTCAATATAACCAAAAAGATGAGGTTTAGAGTTAAGAAACTAATGATTCCACATTATACGGAATTCCCTATTTACGTTTCTGGGCAGTCTCGGTTTGAAAGTTTGTTTTAAAAAAGGCCATTTTATTCCAATATTACTAAAAATAGGATAAAAGATAAAAAAGTGATCTATTTTTTAAAATTCTAAAAATGTGACCAACATCACAATTAACCCTGCAGTGTAAACTGTAAAGTGACTCCGGACAAAGTGACTCCGGCCAAAGTGACCCCACCGAACACAGTAAATGCCCCGCCAGACACAGTGACTGCCCCGCCGCCACAATGACTCCGGCCACAGCGACTCCGGTCACAATGACTCCGGTCATAGTGACTCCACCGCCGCAGTGATTGCCGTACCAGCCAAAGTGACTGCCCCATCGGACCACTGCAGCCGCCCCTCGTGAGTGACTGTCGCGGCTCCCTCGTTAGTCACGGTCGCCGCCCCAACGTTAGTGACTGTCGCCGCCACATCATCAGTGACTGCCGCTGGCCCTTGTTAATGACTGTCGTCGCCTCCGCAACTGTACACCACCACGAGTGCCACCACCGGCCACTGCAACCGGCCACCACTGCTCTGTTCAGCAAATTCTCACTTGCCCTCAGCCACTGCCCCGCGTCACCACAGCCCCTTCCCTGCGTCACCCCAGCCCCCCTCCTTTCATCACCCAACCGCTGCCTCACCCAACCCCCTCCCCTGCGACACCCAACCCCCTACCAGTCCAGCACCACCACGCCCCAGTCCCTCTAGCATCACCACGCCCCAACCCCTCTGGCACTAGGCTACCACGTCGTAGTTATCGGTGAGTTAGCACCGCCTCCGTCCCAACCGGCCACCACTATAGATCTATAGTTCTAGCTTCATTGCAGATCTGAAACATAGCCACCACACTAAATCTGAACAAGAGAGGGCGTAGAAACACCATAGGAAGGAGAAGAATAACTGGATCTAATATCATACTAATTCGATTTCATTGTTTTTGTTGAGGTTAGAGTCGCCGTTAATGGAGTCTCACCGCCATCGCTCAATCGCTGGAGTTCGCCGCAACACGGATTTCATCTGTGAGGTGAAGAGCTGTTGAGATTGGGGGCGGAGGCCGTCGGAGCTTCGCGTCTTGCATCCATGGCAGCTCTGGCCAGTCGTGCCTTGCAACGTCGAATGAAGAGAGAAGGAAGGCAGCGTCGAATGAAGAAAGAGGCAAGCATCAGGTCAGTTTTTTGGGAAAATTGAGAAAAGTCATAAATTTAGAAATCAGAAGTCAATTAGTGATACGCGTGCAATTTTGGACTGTCCCAAAAAATATATTTCACATTTTCCTATTTGGAAAGTTTTGAGTGGCTACAATTCATTTACATTTTTCTATTCAACTACAACCATATATTTTCATTTTATTCTCCATTTTGTTAAATTACGATCCAAATTAAAGTGAGAACTATTTTATGAATTCAAAGATAGAGTTATATTACTTTTTACCAAAACTTCAAAGATGATGATTTCAAGTTATCTTTTTTGTGAATTCCAGTCTTAGTAACTTGTGACCTTGGGTAGCATTTCTTTATTTTCCCAATCAGCTTGACTATAAACGCCCTTCAATTTTCGTAGAATTGATAATAAATGTCTTTAACGTCAACACTGGTTAAAATTTCAGATTTTCTATAGAAATATAATGAATTGAACTATAATTGTGCAAGAGAAGAGATAAAACAATGCGAAGGAGAAGCAGGGCCGGTTCTGAGGGATAATAGGGGCGACCGCCCTATGGCCGAAAAAAATAGAAGGAAAAATAGGCCCAATTTTCTTTCCTTAGCTTATATATACTGTGAGTATGCTTCCTTTTTTATCCATAAGTTCTATTAATTAGGCCTAATGTTTAATTTTGTTGACAATTTGAAAATTTAAAATATAAATGAAAAATCTTAAACAAGGCCAAGTTTAAAAAAGAATATATACATTAATTTTAAGTAGGATTTGCTGTAGTTTTTAAAAGCAATACAATTGTTACTGGATCAATAAAAAACACTCATCTTCAATCTTCACATCTCTTTAGCCTTTAAGACTTTTTATACTATCATCCGTTCTTTAATTCTTGCAACAGTTTGACTTTCACGTTTGCCAACGCGCAACTTTGACTGTAATTATATTTAATTATATATTAGTAACATTATAAAAAGTTGATATTTTGAAAATTCACATTTATAGGAATTCAATAATATATTATAAGTAATAATTTGATTATGCATATTAGTAGAAAATTGTGGTCAAAGTAGGTCTGTGAATAGTGCAACAATCACAATGTACGGGGGAAGTACATTTTAATTATAACATAACAAATTTATATAATTAGTTTAGAGTCTGTGGCTCTCCAATCTCATCCCAATTATTTATATGTTTCCAAATTTTGATAAATTGTATCTGAGTTCCTAATAGTAGTTTTAGAGGTTGTCATATTGGCAGTCTTCTTGGACGAGTCTTCCTGGTGGCCAAACATTTTGTCTCTTTGAAAGCCTTCATTCTTTAGAGGCTTCAAACTTTAGACCCCGAGGAGAAGGAGTGGATCCATTGAACCAAATTTATGTGACAACCATGAGGCGAAGGAGTGAATCCATTGAACCTAATTTTAGTTTCCGCGTCCAAAAGAAGATACACTAATGTTAGTAACGTTTCCATTGAATCGTTCCATTCTTTCCAGCCTAAGCTTAATTCACCTATTTATCCAAACATTGCTACTTCTGGTATAATTAGTATGTTTATAAAAAGGGGTTTTGTCAAAAATAATACTAAATGAAAAGTCATGGACAAAAATAAGACCAAGTTTAAAAGTTTCCAGAAAAGTGACTAACATGACTTTTATACCCTTTCATTAAGTGACATGTCTCCAGTGACTTTGGTCATAGTGACATAATGTCCCAATGACTAATACTCAAGTGACCTCTCATCGTATAAACGCACAGTGACTACCACCGCCAGCTCCGTGACCACCACTGCCAACTCCAGTGACTATAACCATAGTGACCACAGTGACCACCGTGATAGTGACTACGTGGCCAGTTACAATTTTGCCGACACAGTGACTACTCTTCAGAACACTCTTCAGTGACCAGAATTAAACTGCCAGTGGCACCACACCATGCCCGCCACCACCGCCACCCCTACCCCCTCCCCTCCACAACCCCCTCCCCATCGCCCAGCCCTTCACAATTGTTGCCCCAGCCCACTCCCCTAACCCCTGCACAATTACTGCCCCACTCTAGCTCCCTGCAATTGCTTCATCCCATCACCACACACTTTCCCCTTACGCCACCTCCCCTGCCCCAGGCCCATCGTAACCCCTCCTCTGTCCCTCACCATAACTGTTGTCACCCTCTTCCAATAACTTTAGCCATCTCAACAATCGATTCGTCCATAACCCTAATAGTTGTCGGTCGCTGCCTTCCTTCAATAACCATACCTGTCGGTTTTGCACCTCAAAATAGAAAGAGAGAAGCCTATTCGAAGAACTGAAGAGCCTAGTCGGTTTTGCACCTCAAAATAGAAAGAGAGAAGCCTATTCGAAGAACTGAAGAGCCTAGTCGGTTTTGCACCTCAAGAAGAAGATGCCTAGTCGTTGTGCCTATTCGAAGAGAGAAGCAAAATAGAAAGAAGAAAAAGAGGAGATATCGACACAGGCGTGCCTATTCGACGACGACTCGGGTTGCGGCGGTGGCGGTGGGATGTGATTGGTGGGTGAGATGACGATGGGAGAAGAACATATCAGTTGTTAGAGAAGAATGTGAGTGGCGGTCACCGGATATGAGGAGCGATAAGCGGTTACGACAAAGACAGCGGCGGTGCGTAAGTGCATTGGAGCGGTTGTACGCCGTCTTCATCGTAAGAGCTGTGCGCCATCTCCAGATCTGAATCTGGTTTGCGTTGCCAACGGATGAGCGGCAGACTCGAGCTCCAGAAGCCTAGAGAATTGGAATTAAAGGATAAGAAATATTAGGGGTATTTGAGACATTCTGCCCTTCATTTAATCACTTATTTGTCTAAAACGGATCTTCGTCTCATTTTTGTCTGTAGAAGACTCGTAGGTCTTATTTCTGACATTCTTTCTTATAAAAATTCAGCCCACTTTGAGTTGACGTGATATGCCAAACATATCCTTAAGTTAATTGCTTTAGGATGTCTAATCTGTAAAAGGGCCATAGAAACTGAAGAAAAAAAAGAGTACTCTTATAATTATGAAATACAAATAAAAGTTGATCTTTGAGCTCATTATAAAAGTGCAAATACATTATCGTACAATGTTAAATTATTGGAAGTCGTTCAAGCTCCTTCCCTTTCATCTATAGATTTTACATTTTTAGATAACATTACATATTTCCTATTTAGTTCTAGAAATCTCGGAGAAGGTTATTAAAAAAGTGTGGATAAGATTATAAATAAAAACTAAAACATGTACAGAAAGAATGAAGAATTTTGTGGAAAAATGGCAGAGAAGATTACATACACACTCTATTTCCTTTTGGCTTAAAATAGCCTTTAAAAATGAATGGCGAATTTGAAATTTGTGTGGTTTAACATTTTATGTGCGTATTGGAAGGAAGTAAAATTTACTGCACCTCATATGCATAGAGACGTGACACAAGCTAAGCAAGAGAGGAATTCATTAATGTAATTTTAAAAAAAGCAAACTGAATAGGAATTAGGAAGAGTAATCATGAAACATGGAAGAGCTTAGGAGAACAATATCATCTAGTCTCTTAACCATCCAAATTATGCCTTCTTAATTGCAACTGATCTTGCTTTCAGATTCAAAAATATTGCCCTAAAACATATCACAACAGAGAGAATGATCAATAACAGCTTGTTAATTATAGGGAATATGAACAATGTTAGCTTATTAATTATATTAGTATCTTGCATCGAAGAATTTGCAACCATAGACGCTGCCAATGTTCTAAAAAGCGTTTGACAGCCTCGAGGCAGTAAGTAGATGGACGTCTAGTAAACTTACATAAATGTTTGGACATTACTGCCTTAGTTTATCAAGTAACTTCATACTTTGTATAACACCTACTTTAAAGAAACAAGAGTATTAATTTTTCTTTAATATCCTGAAATACATTTTTATTGAGGGTAGATAATACTCCAGACCTTACCATTCTGACAATGTTTGATACTGTATAGTCAATAGTAGTAATATAAATTGTTAAGAAATTAAGAATCTCTTTACCAAATAAAAAGAGGACTTTATCTTGAGAGGTTCCAAAAAGTAACACAAAAAGTTCTTCAAGGGGCAGAGAGTATTTTTTAAGACTTCTTTTAACAACACAGCAACAAAAGTGATGGAAGTATGATAAAACTCTTGGTGTATTGTCTAAATAACTAAACTTAACAATAAACTACCAACTTAAAAGAAAAGTTAATTTTAATATTTGCCAAACTTTATAAATTGGAATCCAACATAAGAGATGGAAGTAGACCACTGTAATGGTTACAAGCATCACATGGGCCTTCTAACACACATGTTGAACCCGGCTAGCGCTTAATTGGGGTGGGCTTACGCAGAGCTTTTTTTTTATTCTTCAGAAGTTTGATGCTTTATATAGCCACTTTGGTAATCCTGGCCTTGTTTTCTATTTTATCAGCTAATCGAGTATATTCTTTCGCAAGTTTTGTAGAAAGAACACTAACCAGCATGACGCAACAAAGTTGTGAAATAAAACACGCAACTGCAGGGGCATGTACTGGTAGTTGATCCACCCGACTACTGGCCAAAACTGCATGTAACAACATCATATGATCTAGTTAACTATTAAAGCATTTGTCCCACACCGGAAAACTATAAAACAATTAAACACTATATAAGACTTTGGGCTACTCCTCCTATCAGTTGACCTTTTAGGATGGAACCCCGTATCTTAACATTAACAAATAATCAAATATGTATAGGGCGTATGGCAGGAGAAAAAGTTGGGATTGGTCAGGACAAAGAATTTTTCAAGATAAAATTTTAGACTTTTACACTAAAAATACAAGCATTTTTCAAACTTGGGGTGGGCCGGGCCTGGTCAGCCCCCCTACCTCCGCCCCTGAATATGTTCATTCCCAACTTACCCCTCTACATATAGCTGGTTGCAAAGTTAAACTTCCATACCTTCCAAGCAGTCAACTGCACAGAGGGGTAGTCCTTCCGAACCTTCTTTTTCACAAGACTCCATGGCCTCCCTGCAAAACCAGATACATGTTACATTTCATATGATATAAACACGATTGTTTATTCTTAAAAGTCCATCTGTTATCCAGTTCTTCTTAAGCCATCCCACACTGGCCAATTACAGAAATACAAACTCTAAAACAAGGTTTTTGTCTTTTTGACTTCTGAATCTATCTTCATAACATTTCTAGGATGAAACTCTACATCTTAAAAGTTCTAACGATCTTAGTCTCTCGTTAAACTTTGCAAAAACTGTTCTTGGCTATACCCCAGTATGGCGATTGGTGGATTGAATTTTTCTGCACAAGCCACTTTCAAAATAAGGTGTTAAGAAAATGACTTCAATCTAACCCCACCCCAAATAAGGAAAAGGATTATCCAATATTTATTAAGGGATTGTGCTTTAATTTAACATCTAATTGACGCGACACAATATGTTAAGACAACAAACATGACCTTACTGAGTTGCTATTACTCATCACTTTGGGTCAAGTTAAAACATACTACCTCCGTCCCTTTTTAGTCAGCCATCTTTGATTTTTCTAGTCAATGACGAACTTTAATCAATCATTTTAACAACTATATATTTGTAAAGTTCTAAATTTTATACTTTTATGATATTACTTTCGATAAAGAACATTTTCATATCATAAACACTTCCATATATACATATACGGAGTATTATATTATCGGTCAAAGCCTAACATCATTGACCGGATCACACGAAAAGTCAAAGATGACCAACTAAAAGGGGACGGAGAGACCTTCAAAGACATTATATGAAAAATGTCAGTGGACACTTCCATTCACGTTGGTTGTGCTCATGTTTTCCATTTTTGTTTTGGATGAAAAATGTGCTCATGTTTTCCAGTTATTACTTGGGTTGTACATAGGGTTGTAAACGAACCGAATCGAGTCGAATAGTGGGAGTTTGTATTTGTATTTGTTTAATTTTTTTCGAATACGAATTCGAATTCGAATATGAAACGAATATTAATTTCGATTTGTATTTGTTTAACAATACGAATAATTAACGAATCATATACGAATATCGAATCGATTTGAGCATAGGTTAAATATTAGTCAAATATCACTTGAAAATAACTTTTCTTATATTTTTTATGTTGTAAATGCATGCTATGACTTAAACTGTGTTTTAAGAATTGAAATTTAATGGATCAATGCATTTTTAGATTGTGCATGATATACTAAAGTGACTCAATTTTATGATTAAATAATATAAATCTATTTCAAATTAAACTTTTTGAAATAAACACCAACACACACATATTAGAAATTATACTTATGATGTGTGAAATAAGTTGATAATTGTATATAAAAGTCTAACGACTCTACTTGTATTCCTCAAATCGAATACATAATAATTTGTAGAGTGGTCTTCTTGTCAGGCCGGCCTGACGGGATGCTCCGTCCGGCCGAGCCTGTTTGGGAATCTTCCCGGTGGAATTTTTTGATGAATTTGTTTGACCATGTTCCTCATCAAGTCTAGTTTGTCCATACCAAATTTCAGCTCAAAATTCGATCGGGAAAGCATTCAAATCATTTTTTGAAGTTGACTGCAGTTTTATATGTATACTTTGACGCAGTCAACTTCAAAAAATGATTTGAATGCCTTCCAGATCGAATTTTGAGCTGAAATTTGGTATGGACAAACTAGACTTGATTAGGAACATGCTCAAAAAATTTCATCAAAAAATTCCACCGGGAAGGTGCCCAAACGGGCTCGGCCGGACGGAGCATCCCGTCAGGCCGGCCTCACATGAAGATTTGTCATAATTTGTATTGTATTTGAAAGACATTTGGACCAAAACTTTGATTTGTATTTATATTCTGATTTACTACAAATGAGCTCGGAATCTGTATGCATAAATGTATATATGGGCTACACTTTGAGGGTATTGCTATTTTTTAAAAGTTATTATAGTGTTATTACTATTATTATTAATATTATTATTAATATTACCATTATTATTAATCAAATATATTTGATTAATATTCGAATCGAATACACTGATATTCGTATTTGTATTTTGAAAACAACTCGAATCAAATTTAATATTCTTATTTGTATTTGTATTTGAATTTTCCGAATTCGAATTGTCTTATACGAATTCGAATCGCGAATCGAGCACAAATTATTTGATTCATTTACAACCCTAGTTGTACAGTTGTACTCCTACACAATCTTCAGCATAATGACAAATTGAGAGAGTGCTTTCATAAGCTCCATCATTCTGGAGGGTCGAGATTGTCTAAAACACCTAGATTATAAAAGGGATATTTTGACTTTGCACCCCGTTTTTTGGGTGATATTGGACTTTGCACTCCATTTTCAAAAAATTTAGACTTTGCACCCTAATTCCCTAAAATGTCTTTGCCTTTGCACCCCATTTAAGAATTTTTCTTCACAAAATGTTGTAGATAGGGTGCAAAGTCTAGAAGTTTTGAAAATGTGGTGCAAAGTCCAATATCACCTAAAAAATGTGGTGAAAAAGTGGGGTGCAAACTCAAAATTCCCCATTATAAAAAAAGCTAAAATTGAGAGACTGAAATTAGTAAAACTGCATAACTACTACTCTACTAGGCTAAAACCCAGTTTTACCCTATATGCAGAGTAATAAGCTTGGGTGATGTTTAGATTTTTAGGAAAGAAAACAGATGTCCTTGATGGCCTCACATATACCTTCAACCACTAAGCCATAGTACATCAAGAAAAGCATGTTGTTCCAAGGAGAAGAGGTTAACTGTTCCAACAAGACCTGCACAAGATCTAGGAAACTAATAATGTTATTAAAAGTAAAAAATTGCAGGGGAAAATGTATGGGGGGTTAATTTCAGTAGTTTGACCTTGGTAGCAACAGTTTTGTTGCCCTTCTTTCCTCTGAACAGATAATCCATCAACTTGTGCAGAAAATGCCCAAATGGTCCTGAGTATGCAAACCCATATAACTGCAATTACAACAAAGATCACACATTCCATATCAGTAAATTTTATCTCAATCAATCTAGAAAAGCCAAGAAATCAAGAAAACAATATTATAAAAAAGAATTAAAAATACAGCTAAAAGAAGTATTCTTTTCAATTGAAGCTTCTTATTCCCAGAAATCTTCTGAGCAATTATATCACTAGACCCAACCAAAACTCCAGCTGTTATAGCCTGTGTAAAACAATAGTGTCAAGAAAAGATGATCTCTAATACAATGGATGGAATATGATTATATGAAATTATGAATAACTTCAGTCAGTTATTAGCGAAAGCAGGAAAAATAACCTTGGTCCGAAGAGGATGGAGTTGGAGCTGGAGGAGATACTTGTTCCAACCTTCTTTTACAATCTCAGACATTTTGTGTTTATAATTTAATGAAGACAGCCTTGCTGCAATTTGGTTTTGCACTTAAAACAATGTTCTTAATACTGCAAAAGGACCCAAGGTACTACCTAACAACCACCATTTACCTGTTTTGTTGTATGAAAATTGAGAGATGAGAAGTCACAAAAACGAGAAGTCAAAAAAATGAGAAGTCAAAAACTGAGAAGTCAAAATAATGAGAAGACAAAAAAATGAGAAGTCAAAATGATGAGAAGACAAAAAAATGAGAAGTCAAAAAAACTGAGAAGACAACTTCAAAATCCATCCGTTGAATTATTGCAGTTTTTGTCTTTCTGCTAACAGAAGTCGATATGCAGGAGTTTGTCCCCTTCTGTGCCAATTGCAAAACTATGATAGGAGTTCTACAATAAATAAGGAGGAAAAGTATAAACATTATTTTAACTTTTTAAAATGAGAGTACAATGTCAAGTTTAGTAGGATGTTTTTACTTGTCAGTTTCAGATCTGACCAAACTTCCATAGTTATAAAATATACAAAGACTAGACATTTATCAAACCTGATCAATACAGACCAGACTACCAAATTTAAGTCTTAAGTAAAAACATCGTACCTCCCAATTCCCTTATTTCATAAATTTTGACCAAATTTTCTTACTCAATCTTCTAGTTTCTTGTTATTTCTAGTTTCTCTGCACAAATCTCAATTACATAATGTTTACATGTTTATTTCATGTGCACTTTTACCAATTTTCATGGGAGTTTGAGAGTATATCATTTTAGATTTTAAGTGGCCGCACATGTTAGTATATTACTATCATGAGATTAATGACAGGAAGTGTTTGATAAACTTCTGCAGTCTAAATACTAAAAATTCCTAGTACTTAAAATTGAAGGGAGAATAGGAAATATATTTGTCATTGAGACTAGTAGATATACGGAGTATGTATTTTGACTTTGAGATTATTTAATCCCTTTTTTGGGAAACTATTTAATAGTAAATATGTTTGTCATTGAGATTAGTATTATTTCCGTTATTCATTTATTTTATGAAAAGATAGATTGTTTATAGTATGAAAAGAGAGGGTTAGCAAATGTTTTTAGAATTGTAAAAATAATTCAAGCTTGATTCAATTAAATAAGTCAGTGTGAAGTTATTTAATACGGTAGTATAAATTTGAAAATATTTTATTATTTCTTCAACCTTCCGAGTATTGGGCCGGGGCAATATATAGTCTCATGCTTACTTTGACAAAAGAGATGGAAATGCGGTTCTTTACCTAATTACATTGATGGTGGATCCATTAGTCATATCAATAAATCAGTTTTTGGAAGTGTCTAATATAAATCAGTTGTAGTAATATAAAGTAGTAGTTCGACGGGTTTGGAGAATTGGGTCAAGGATTATATGGAAGGAAACAACGAGGAGAGCTACCGATAAAATAGAGTACAATATATTCAATATATTCAAGCGTGATGAATAGGTAAATAATAATAATATGGTTGAGACCCGTGGGAGATTAGAACTTCAAACTCTTCATCATTATGTTCTACATTTGATTCTAATAATCTTCTTAAGAAGCTTGAAGGGAGATTAGAACACAATTTTAATGTCCTAGTGAAATAGTTAGAGAAGAAATCTTTCGTGAACGTCAAAATAACTCAGTCACAAGATATAGGATCACAAAGCTAACCCTAGAAAATAAAAAACTAGGAGCGAGCGTTAATGACTTGACTAAGATACTTGGTAGCTCAGAGCTTGAGAGGAATAGATTGCTTGCTGTGAACACAACTCTTTTTACCACAAGAGATTCTCTTTACACAAAAATAAAAGAACTTGAAGATTTGATAGCTAAAAGAGATCAAATAGATCAGACAATTTTCCTTAATCAACCTAAGGACACTCATTTGTACAACTCCAAAGAGGGTCTAGGCCTCTCTAATCCTCATTATCTAAAAAGAGTTAATTGCGCTCAACTCTATTATATCAGATACATGGGATTAGGATTGACCATGCTTATGGCCTTTACTGAAGCTGAAGAAATCATGCTCTTGAAGATGACAAGAGGAAAACCAAAGCAATAACTGAGATCCCTTTTGACTATTCTGATCCGAACAAAAGTTTAAGAACTGTGAGATCCCTTTGACTTCTAAAGAAGAACTACTATCTTACCCACCATAAAAGGAGACTGTGCAAGATAAAGAGGAACTTTTAATTTCTGAACCTGAAATAGGAAAAGCTTACATTTCACCTTTAGCCAACAAATTCGCTAATCTAAAGGAATCTTTTAAATAGAAAAAGAAAGTTCTTAGAACTCGAAAGAAATCAACTTTTAAATGATTTTTCTTTGTTAATGAAATCCTCCCAATCCAGCACAGAATCTCCAACCTCTTTCTCTTCACCTTCTGAACAATCTTTCGAAACATCTCCAACTGGAACTTGTGTTCGAGTTCGACCGGAAGGTGACATGCCTTCCCAAACACAAGTCGGTAAGGCGACATTCCAATGTGAATTTTGAAAGCGGTCTTATATGCCCACAACGCATCATCCATGCGTAGACTCCAATCCTTGCGGCTCAGATTCAGTCTTTCAGAGTATTGATTTCAACTCCATGTTTGATACATCGGTCTGGACATTGGTTTGAGGGTGGTAGGCAGTGTAGAGTTTATGAGTGACGACATATTTCTTTAACAAGGCACTCATGATTTTTTTGTAGAAGTGAGTGGCCCCGGTCGCTAATCAAAATGCGTGGGACTTCAAACCTTGAGAAGATGTGAGATTTGAAGAAATCTGCCACGACTTTGGCATCATCCGTTTTGGTGGGTTTTGCTTCCACCCATTTTGACACGTAGTCCACCGCCAAGAGAATGTATAGATTACCTGTTGGAAATATGCCCTAGGACAATCATAGTTTATGATTTATCAATAAATATTTAATGCTCATTAATTAATAAAGTCACAAACTCATTTTATGTTAATTATTATTTGAGATTTCTTTATTAATATTTAAGTCCCTGAATATTCTGTTTAGTATGCTACATTTTAAAATAAACATAATATTCTAATTGTCCCTGGTCTAATATTATTAATTTGGGACATTAATAATTAATAGACCAGTATGTGGATTAACTGATGGCTATATTCCACTTGTCATGGGTATAGAGATATCAAGTTAATAACATAGATGCTTGTTAGGGAACAAGTTCATTGGACAGACCCAACTTGAGGACACTGCTAGGTTATATGTCATCAGTGTTGTCCTCAATAATGATGAGGTGTTATATTATTATACTTGAGATAATCATGGTTACTTGCATGAGAATTAATATGTATTAACACCATTAAATGTTATCTTTAAATGAGTAATTATAAAGGTGGTGATTGTACATATTATAAACCATGTAGTAGTATGTGAATTATCAAGATAGTTTTTGTCAATCTTGTAAAGCGAGAGAAAGATATCTATTGGGCCCCTTGACAAGTAAGATTAATTAGTATGACCATGCTCAAATGTAGTGTCATTTGATGAAGAATAATCTTACTTGGTAATCAAGAAATATTAATTGAGAATAACAAGGATGACACGACTTAACCTTGTCTCAATTAAGATATCGTTTGACAAAAGAGAACTATTAGTACAAATTAATCATTAAAAGGTTATGTCAAATTTAATTGACATTTATATATTTTGGATAGTCATAATGCCTTGCTAGAGGCCGCTTATGATTTGTGAGGCTCAAATTAATTTTCTAGCCCACTGCCAATAATATATAAACCTACAGGGTCACACACCTAAGTGATCTGGATCATTAATGTTTGTTAATAACATTAAAATAGCCCGATTAGCCCAATTCGAAATAGGGTTTCAAAGGGTATTGGGCTAGGGCCTCTTTAAGGGTTTTATTAGCTATAAAACCTCTTCTTTCCTCCTCTTATAAATAGGGCCATATAGACCCACGAATTTTAAGAGTTAAAATTCACTTCTTAAACCTAGAGTAGAGAGGAAGAAAGAAGAGAACGCTAGCACGTTCCCTGCGGCCGATCCAGTCACGTGCGTGTGGATACCGGTAGAGCTCAGGATCGTTTTCTCGGACTGTCTCACATTCTTGCAATGGTGTCTTCATATGACCAGGTTCAAATTGGACACTATGATTTCATCAGAATCTCATATTTGATACTAAGGTTTTAAATGGGCCAAATTAGACACTATGGTTTCATATGTATCTCATATTGAACACTAAAGTTTCATAATTCAATATAAGTGAGTGTCCAATTTGATCTTTATCCAATATAAGTGAGTGTCCAAAACCTATGAATTATGAAACTTTAGTGTCCAATATGGGATACATATGAAACCATAGTGTCTAATTTGATTCATTTGAAACCTTAGTGTCAAATATGAGATTCTGATGAAACCATAGTGTCCAATTTGAGCTTTATCCCGTTGAGGGGAGCATTTTCTAGCCATTTAACACTTTGAATTTTTCTCGTCTATATAAACAACTTTATGCATCCCACCTCACTCACTTTTCACCTTGCACACAAGTCTCTCAAACTTCTCTCCACTATCATCAATCTTCCTTCTCTCTTCTCTTATCATCCTTAATGTCAGATTTGCATTTCATCCACTATTATCTTCTTGTTTTCTTCTCTATATGTAATTCAACAGGTACATGTACAAAAATAATGATGAATAGTCATCATGTGCAAACTCCTTTGATGCACGAATCGAAGCCAAGCGCGAACTCTATTCGTGCACGAACCTGGTTCATGCGCGAACTAAGGCCATGCACGAACTCTAGTCGTGCGTGAACCTAGGTCATGCGTGAACGTGGTTCATGCGTGAACTAACACAATGCGCGGAACAAGGCCATGTGTGAACCTTATTGATACGCGAACCATTTGTCATGTGCAAAACCAATGTCCATGCGCAAACCTAACCCATGCGCAAACTGGATCCATTCGCGAACCACTATTTAACAAAAAAAATTCACATTCGCTCATACAAATGTCCCAACATTCTACCATTTTCATATTTCCGTGGCAGAATTGGCATCTATCAAGACCATCTACGGTACACAAAACTGGTACCCAATAAAGGAAAACAACTCTCAAGTTGATCCAACAGTCTTCTTCTACCAAGATGATGTCGTAATGGCCATACTTAAGGGGCACGATATCTGGAAGGCCCTAAACAAGACTGCTGAGGTACCAGAGGTGTATCTCCAATAATTCTGGGGAACACAGAACAAGGAAAGAGATGCATCTGGTGCTAGAATTCTCAAAGAAACAATTGACAGCTCCGGGGGTGATGTGAGTTTTCTCGCACTTAAAAAGTAGATCGTAATATAGTGGTGTAAGTACGAGTATCGTCTCCACAGGGACGG